CAAAACACTGATTTTTCATTCCAGATATTAAAATTAACTATGTTCCACTCACCATTAGTGAGTGTTTTTAATAGGGTAGAAACATTCACATCTGAGTCTTGAGATCTGTAAGAATAAGATTCCCAGGTTCAAAACTTGTGAGTAGCTGGCTCATTTTCTATTTGTCTTTAGCTGCCAATTAGCAATGTCATTAATCCACTGCCTAGGAGAAGTTCATGATTAAAATAGACGGTGTCACTGACCATGGACAAGACAATATGCAGAAGGTTGTGCCATAGGTGCCCGTCATTGTGCTGCAGTAGTTAGAGCTTTGCCTCATTCTCCAGAGGGAAGTAGAAATTTCTTAATTTCTCTGCCTCCTGGGGTACAGACAGACACATTATCCAGGCTTTGAATACTGCATTATATTGTGTTCTGGATAGGGATTCTGAAGCAGACCCTGGGAGGGCTAATGCACCACCTGCCACCTGTTATCAGGGGAGCTTGGTTAGGGAACACATTGTGTCCGCATTAGCCGCAAATGTCCTTTGCTGCGTCCACCCACAGAGCCACCCGAAGGCTCCTTGGGGGTGGCAGATTTGAATTTTGCCTCCTCAAGGATGAGTGTCTTGAAGCTGGGCCAGAGCTTTGTGTGCTGCTGGCGAGAGAAGACAGATTGGGGAAGAGGCACAGGAGGGTTGGAGGGATCAGGCTTGCTTTTTCTGCATCTCCGGGGGCAGCAGGGAGGAACTGGTGGTGCATGGCTGCTGCCAGTAAAGGCTAACCTCTAGCTGGAGACCACAAACCCTTGGTGACAGTGGCCAGCCTGATTTTCTGAGGCCACAGATAAAATAAGCAATGACCTAGGACAGCAGACAGTGGAGGAGACAGAGGAGCACGATCCTGCTGCTTGCTCCCTGGTGTGCTGTACAGAAGGAATTTTGTTCTGGAGAGGGAATTGTACTCTAGCTTGCTTAAGGAAAAGATGACCAATGCTTTAGTTTATACCCCACCTGGGGATCAAGTCTCTCAGCAAGACAAGAGGGTTTTATTTTTCCCCCCAGATCTCACTTTCGAGGGAAACAGATTTCCACGACAGAGGCTGAAATACTAGGAATAGTTTTCTTAGGTGGATCTTCCAACTTCTGGTTTGTAACTACACTAATTTGTGGGTGAAGGAAATATTTTGGTACTGAAAACTTGCCAAAATGCTGTTTAACAGAGAACTGCACTTTAATTAGCACTTAGGAGACATTAACAGTAATTGTATTCAATTTCAACGCTCAGGATAAAGTGTGATTTAGGATCAGCTGGTTGGTGCTCTGAAAGAAAGGGGAAAACAAAAAAAAGGGAAAAAAACAACAAAAAAAAACATTGCTGTGTGGTCTGGTGAACATGCGCCCTTAGCTTTGTGTTTATAGGTAGAAGCTTTTGTGGCTGCCTGTCTCTTTCTTCCCACAAGGTGTTGTGCTGGACTGGGAAAAAAGTGGAAGGAACTTGTATTAACTGGAGGGAAAGGATTTAACTTCAAGTTCATGCTTTTGCAGTGAGCTGGATTATGGTTTATCCCTGCTATCTCTTTTGCTGTAATTTTTAGGAAAAGTGCCAAATACTTTGAAAAAATTTTCCATTTACTTATTTATGCTTTGCTTTGCCAAAGAATGAGAAAGCCTGCCACATTCAGCAAGCATGTGAACAAGACAGGCGAGGGAACCCAGGGTGAAATCTGATGTGGAGACTTGTGTATGATGCAGGATAGCCATCAACATCCCTTGAATATTTCTTTCTTCTTAACAGCAGAGTTCATTATGCTCTCAAAGTTTGTGGCTGTAGGTGAAAACAAAGACAGTGCCATTAAATGACTGTAGTTGCAAAGGCTGGCTGAGAACAGAGAAGACAAACAATATGCAATTGAAGTGCCCGTTTGTATGCAAGCTACCAGACAAGCCTGACATATACACCAGTATGATGTAAGGCAGTGGAGAGAACCTGATTAGCAAAGCCCTCACAGCGATGCGAGGAGATCCCTGCTGCACCAGCACTCCCCTCCTTGGAGACCTACAACTAGTCCCAGTTGAAGGAAACCTTCCCACAGCAACAGAGCTGGCAGAGGGTTTCTGAAAACGGCAACAGTGCTTCTGTGTGTGTGTGTGTATGTGAAGGTGAGGGAAGTAAGAAGAGTAAACAGCCAGAACAACTCTGCAGAATAGATGGGATATGGCGAAGGATGCAAGATGAATTACTTGGGCTTTGTGAGCTATGTGTGCAGGAGTTGTGGAGCACTGCATGTCTGGGAGCAAACGGCTCACTGTTTTGTTGGGCTGTTTAGCCTGTTGGATGAAAGCCATCCTTTAGCAGAGAGAAATGCTAGGGCAAGATAAAGTAAGTGATCTTCTGGTTTGTAAGCTCTTGCAGCCTTGCTTTCATTTGTGCTGAGCAGGCAGAGGTCCACAGACTGTAATGGGAAGCAGTGGTTCTCAACACTTACTGCAGTCAAGTGTATTCCATATCAGAAGTAGAGTCAAAAATCTGTATATGTAAGAAGACACGTAAGATACAAGGCTTTCTCTCTCTTGTGAGTACATATAAATATATACAATTGGTAGGAGCGTTGGGTTATTTAGTGCATTACTGTGCAATGAGAGTGCACAGGCATGTGGCAGCAACCTGGAGTTTTAGGTGAGGAGTTCAGGGCTCTAATTCTGGCTCTACTATAGCTACTTGTGTGGTCAAGTGTATTAAATTCTGCTCCCAAGGACAGCAAACCATTTATTCGGGCTTCATTCTCAGACTTGCTGAATACCCCAAAAGGCTGCTATTATTAGAGGGAACTGCCATTCCTCTAGCTCTGAAAGTGGGCTGTCCATAAATCGCCAGTGCCTGCTTTCCATGCAGAAGTGGGACTAGGACCTTGGCTTTCTCCCTGCTAGCCTGCGGAACTTCCAGAGCTCCCACTCTTCCTCCCTTTGCTTCTCTTGCTGCTGTGCTGGGTCAGGCCCCCTCATTCTCCCCATGCAAACAGCTTCCTGTTGACCTTTTTCTGCCTTCCTTCCCTTGTTATGGCAGTAGCGGCCTTGCAGAAGAAGCTAGTGAGTCCTTGGTGGACGGGTGATTTGCAGTTACATAAAGTTTAGGGTGTCTCTTTTTATGGCCAGGTTTGGGTGCAGGAGGTTGCTGTCACCCACGTATTTCCCTGTGTGTGCTGTTGATACAGGGTTAGCACTGTGTAGCAGAGAGCTGTCCTGGGGTACTGTGCTTTTCCACCATGCCAGGTACCAGCTGAGGATAGGTCACAGTCAAGCTCACAGTCCCTACTTTTTTTCCCTTTTTTTAGACAATAAATGCATCTCTGGCAACAAAAATATCAATTCCCTTCTATAAATGTAGCACTTGAATATTTTGCAGTTGCAGACTGTTTGGATGACAGTGCCTGTGCTGGGTACTAGTCTGCTGTGATCTGATCTGGCTGCGTCCTTGCTCTGGATGGGCTTTGCCGTAATAGTACTTTCATTCCTTAGCTCCCATTAGTGCCTTGATGAAGAGTGGAAGATGCATTTCAACAATTTTATGATTAAAAAGCAACGTCTTCCCGTTCTTTGGTCTCTGGTGCCTCTACCCTGTTTATTATGCTTTGTCTAGGGTAGCAACAGTGACTTAGAGTTAACGTCAGCATCAGTCTCTGAACCTTGTATTTTCTTTAACCGTAAATTCTGGGGAAGAAGGATGAAAGAGGAAGTCTAAGTAGCAGAGTTTGTTCTTTTGACATTTTCAAGCCTGCTGTTTGAAACTCACAGCAATCAGACACATTTACTCATTGGGTTCCTGGACATTCCCCTTGGTGGCTGTACTCTGGAGCACGTCTGGCCAGGGTTTGGAGGCAAGCATTTAGGCTCTTGATCTACTGCTGTCACCAGCATTCCTGCAATGGCCTTAGTACAGAGGTCAAAGACTGCTTAGATATGAAGACTGAATCACCTCCTTTTTAAACCCCTCAACAGGATCAAGGCTTAGGGAAGCAGGCACGTGGGCTTGCCTTCTGGCTGACTGTGGATGGGAGAGTGTGACTCTGAAACAGGCCTTTCGGCCACTTCAGCCAGCCATTTAGACATTGAAATGAGGTTCTCTAGTGATGACAACGCTCCTGTGTGAAAAAGCCTGATGCATTTATTTTCTGTAAAGATATACCGATTCCACGAGCTGTTGATAGAGAAGATTTATTCTGTGACCTGAGGATCACAGAAATCGTGGTGAGCCCATCAGTCTAACTGGACAGATACGAGAGATCTTCAAGTGTGCTTATTTTACTTGCAAATATACATAAGCCAGCAGCATAAATCTCTCTTCAGACCTGTTTGCCTTGGCAGTGTCCCATTTGTGTGAATCGGAAGATGGTAGCAAAACAGCACTGGAGGTTCATCCAGTCTCCCCTCTGTCAGGAAGCCTGCCCGACTCTGGCTTCACTAGGTCCCTGTGTTTTCAATTATCCTGCTTGCAAAGGATGTTTGTTTCCCCAAGTTGTGATGGTGCAGTGAAACCCTGTCTTTGGAAACCCTTCATCTTGGTGCACTAGGCAGGAGAGACCTGGAAGAAGCAGCTGTGGCTATGTCCTTTGCTCTTGTGACTTGGGCTTCTTGAAAGGAAGGGAGCTCCTATGTTTCAAGCTAAGCAGGAGGATAAGTTCTTAAGCCTGCTGCATCTCTGCAGCTGTTGGTAGGTCTCTGGATCACGCCGTGCCTTAGTTTCCAAGCTGTAAAATAGGGATAGAAATTAACTTAAATACCACAACAAAACAGGGCCTAAGACACAGTTGTAACTTGTGGTGCCATCACCATCATCAAACTGTGAGATTGTGGTGCTGCCACCACCGTGAGACCCTCATGTTGGTCAGAGCTTAAAGGCCGTGCTTTAATATTGATAATCATAGAGATTTATCATTATATTAGTGACTGGGAACTTAGAGCATACATGGGTTTAATTTTTTTAATTTTTAATTTTTTTATTTTTTATTTTTTTTATTTCAGCAAATTCAGTAAAGCTAGAAATGCAAAGTGATGATGAATTTGACAGGAAGCCCCTGTGTCAGGAAGATGAGATCAGGGCTCATGATGAAGGAAGCAGCCTGGAAGATCCTCTCACTGAGGGTAACGAGATGATGGATAACAGAAAGATCCAGGAGCTCTCAAGCGAGGGAGGAATCCGGCTTCCGAATGGTAAACTGAAATGTGACGTCTGTGGCATGATTTGCATTGGGCCCAATGTGCTAATGGTACATAAAAGGAGCCACACTGGTAAGCAGCTGAAAGAAAATCTGATGACTGCCCATAGCGTCTGATGTTGATATTACCTGACCACTCTTCTCTCTTCCCTTTTCATTCATGGGGTAGCAGGAGGTGGGGAGGGAAAGATGGGCTTCATTGGTTTGGTTCTCTTCCTGCTCCCCAAATTCTGGTGATGCTGTGTTTCTGGCATAGTGGTTCTTTGACATTGATTTACAGCCTCTAGTTCTTAAAAACAGCACAGAAGTCTGAAAATTGCTTTTTTTTTACTGTTGTTTGCTGGTTTACTTAACCAGGGGCAAGACAGTGAGAGTCATTCTTTGGCATGGGGGTGTGTGTGTTCATGTGTGTGCGCATGTGCAAGGCTTTTGAACCCTTAGGGTGAGTCTTAGGTGGTCTTCCATTGGAGGTGCCCAGAGTGGAAAACATCAGAAGCTTCCTGGGGATCTCTCACCTCCTTTGCAAGTGGCTGGGCATGATGCTGGTGGCCTGACAAACCTGGGATTAGCAAACCCCACAGGGACATGCATTATCCAGCAATGTATTGTGTGACAGCTCCAGCAGGAAACCTCACCTGAACTGCTCCTTTGAGCTAGCACTTGGCTCCCCTCACCATCCAGATGTGGCATCTTTCAATGCTTGAACTCTACTATAATTTTATTTTTGTTACTGTTAGTATTTCTAAGTTTCAGAGACCAAAACAGCTCACTGGGCTTATGGATCTGAGAATTCAAGAGGCAGACAAAACTTCTGCAGTATGCTGATTGAGGGGGCCTTTGGGGCCTGAAAGATGAGGCCTTGAGTTCAAAATAAGGAATTTCAGGCAAATTTTGGCTAGTAGGACAAACTCGGCTGCCTGAGGGGCTGGTACTGACTAGCACTCACCTCTGGTACTCGCCTCTGCTGCTTGCCTCTGCTGCTTACCTCTGCTGCTTCTCAGGTAGGAGTGGTGGTTACCTCCATCAGGATAAAGTACAGGTGGTGCCAGAAGACAGTTCTCCCTGGTTTTGCAGAGGTCTACCTGGCAGAGCCTTTATTAAAAACAGCACTTAAGCTTGTGCTTACTTTTTGTGGTATTTAAGCACATGTAAGTCACCTGAAGTGCTACCATATATGCTTAAGATACACACTTCAGTCTTATTAAGGTTAAGCACAGGTTTTTGTGCTGGAGCTTCAGGGGGTGCTTGTTCTTCATATTTTTTAGACAAAATGAAATCTACCTTTTTTCTTTTGTCTTTGCTATTATTTAACAGAGTGAGAGACTCACACAGACTGTGAGATTTCTGCTAAGATTCTAAAAGAAAACTGGGGATTTAAGATAGAGTAAGAAAGACTATGCATAATCCCTTTGTAAACCTAGTAGTTCACAGTCAAATAGTGTGCTCTTGATGTGAAAGGAATCAATAGAATTTCTGTACAGAGGAATAATAAATACATACTACATACTTAATGCCCTGTATATGAGTTGTATTGATAATAACTTAACAGAAATGTGTAATGCAAAACATTGCAGTATCATTTATGATGCAGCCGTGATTTTAGGCAGCAGTTACAACAGGGGAAAAGCACTAGTTGGAGGACCCAAATCTTGATTAACAATTTGACATGCTGTTACTAGGAAGGAGAAAGAGAATTGAGATGTACAGCCTGAGTCCCCAGCTTTCAACCTCCCTGAAAGTTTTTGTTGGCACTTGCATGTATCTGAGCATATGTATTGTAGGTGCATCAGAGTCTGTGTATTTGAACTTGAGCAGCTAAATTAGACTTGCTAAATTTAGACTTAGGTATACTTCATTAAATGGTCTGCATTTTTTGACACACTGGCTAGCTAGTGCATCTTTTAAATACAGACAAGCTGCTTTTTTCCTGTGAAAGAAGACCTGCAAATTCAAAGAGAACAGAGCAAAATCTCATCTGCGTGCAGGCAAAGCGGCTGTATGCGGATGCATAGATGGGGATTGCATAACTGATAGCATTTTCCTGCAGGCTACTGCTGGTTCCCCATAGAGCCCTGACTCTTCCCATCCAAGCAGAGGAGCTGTGATATATTGCTCTATACAGATGATCTCAAGCATATAGAAATGACATTCCTTTTAACGTGCAGCTCTGTGCTCTATGCTCAGTAAACCAATTGGCAAATTTTGCGGGGGATTTTTCTTTTTCTTTCCCCCACTGTTTGTTTGTTTTTTAATACATGCTGCTGCTTCACTGTCCACAACAGAAGGGGAAGTTTGCTTGGATTTCCACATCCTTGATTTTAAGGAGTATTTTTAGCATACTGGTATCTCTCTTTTGAAGTGCAGTGTTTTAAAGTCTATTGCCACTTCCTCGGCAGCTAGGCATGATGGGCTGGCCCCAGCTCTGGAATGAGCCCTGACCTGTGGGTAGTCTGGTTTTGCAGCCCAAGGGAGAATTGTGGAGGGAAGGGAGGTTTTCCCTGGCGAGTGTAAACCAATGATATTCTTTATCAGCTAATGCAACTGGCATGTAAATCCTTACCTCTCAAAGCCAGTTTAAGTATGTTTTAGAATCTGAATGTCACCTTACTCTCCTCTTTGTCTATACAAAACCAAAGCATGGTCTGGCCAGTTACTTGTATTGGCAAAGACTGAAGTATTTTTCCTTTTCCAAAAAAACTGTCATCGTTCTATGTAAATCACACAAAATTCTGTGGTCCATAGTAGAGGCTGTAATTTGCATGTATGCTGGGACAAGAGTGTGGCTTTACTTACACTGGGGACCCAGCCTTTGCGAGAAGCTGTGCTGTATGGCTTTGGCTGCATTACACCCATAAAGGAGCACAGTTTTCTCCAGCCATTATTTGTCTGTTTGTGAGAGGTAGTTGTCTTTCCTGCCACGTTGTTGTAGTTCAGTCAAACAGATATAGGGATGGGGAAAATAATCTGTGCTGTGGATGACACTCGGTGTCCCATCTCTCATCCTCGTGCTGGAGCATCCGTTTCAAATGACTCATGCAGTCATATTGTATCATATATAATCACAGAGTGGTTTGTGTTGGAAGGGACCTGAAAGCTCATCCAGTCCCAGCCCCCTGCCTTGGGCAGGGACACCTTCTACTAGAGCAGGTTGCTCCAAGCCCCTGTGTCCAACCTGGCCTTGAACACTGCCAGGGATGGGGCAGCCACAGCCTCTCTGGGCACCCTGTGCCAGTGCCTCAGCACCCTCACAGGGAAGAACTTCTTCCTTATACCTAATCTAAATCTCCCTCTGTCAAGTTAAAGCCATTCCCCCTTGTCATGTCCCTACAGGCCCTTGTCAAAAGTCCCTTTCCAGATTTCTTGAAGGCGCTCTCTGTCACCCCTTCCCATGATAGACCAAGCTGAGGATTTCTCATCCATCCTTCAGATCCACACAAGCTCTGCCTCATGCCTGTGGTGCAAATGGTGCTCTGGTCCACAGTACCTCCATCACAGAGTCCTTGGCACTGCTCCTCCGATACTGCCCAATGCAACATTTCTTTGAAACGCTGGTAATTCAAGTGAAACGTTTTTGTAGTCTGTATGATCCTCAGGAGAAGTCTTTCTATTTATTTGTCATCACTGATAGAAAAGAAATAAAGTGTTTAATGTGGGACTTAAGCATGATGCACTCCCTGCTTTAGTGAACAAGGTAACCCCATCCTCTCTCTCAAGTGCCACATCCTCGTGTCAGAAAAATAGCATATGTCAGGTTTGATTTATTTTCCTCCTTTCTCATAGTGTCTTCTTTTGGTCCAGATTTCATATTCCAAAGCACATAGCCTGATTTACATCATCTTTATCAGAGGTATTTTGTTATTGCAGGAGAGGACTGGTCACATAGTATTGCCACTGGATACCCCAGGGGCTTGTGCTAGGGAATGTTGAGGGAAGGGGAGAAGAAGGTAAGGTCAGGAATCCAACTTGTGTGAAGGAATGAAAGGGAACTCGAATGAGTTCTCACCTCTTTAGGCTCTCCGCTAGTGGGCCTGATTTAAAAGTTCCTTGATTCTCATTTTTGGTAAAGCAGAAACGTTTTGCTGATGCCGCCCTGTTGCTGCCTCTGTGATCTGCAAGGTCCTCACATTGTTCTCCCTTGCACTGTGAATTGTGATTTTTCTTCACTGTAACATCCAGTCCTTTATTTAGTCCACTGCTGGATTTTTAAATACTTTTTATCTCTAAGGGAGGCTTGGGATTATCCTCATAGAACACCTAGAGGTTAAATGCTTTCTCTGTGTGGACACAGAGGGATAGGGGCAGATCAAAGCCATGTCCCTGCGTGAAGGGCATGACGCAGCAGGCAGTGGGGATAGTAGTCTTATCAGCAGCCCAAAGTGAGAGTGGGATAGGTTATTTTTTGAGCTGCTAACTACAGGAAAGTCTCATCTCTTTGCTTGCACTCCCCGTGCATTTTAGTACCATGAAGTCAGTGTAATGAGACAAGTTATGTGCCTGTGAGAGAAATCTTCAAGTTCTACTATAGCAGCTGTGGCATTATTAACTAAACATATGCAACATGGGAACTCTGAATGCTAGTTAAGTTTTGTTTTTCATGCAAAGCTCAAGTTTTTGGGACACAATTAATAAATGAGGAAAAATCTAATTGTGCTGTTCAGTATATAAGACTTTATGCCCAAGCCAGTTAATTAAGAGCAAATTTTAACAAATGGACATATTAACATGTTGCGGTTAACTCCATTAGCCTACCTGTCTCATTCTTCCAGAAGAAAGGTTTATTTGGTTTAGTTTGTCATTTGTAACCTAGCACAGGCTGAATCAAAAATTGTAGGGCCAAACTTCTAAAAGTGCGATTTTCTACATGGGTTCTTAAATCTAACTTTTCCAAGTTAAGCATAAGGAGGGGGAGCTTGGATTTTTGAAATCACTGTCTGAATAAGGATGTGTTTTACTTGCAGTATGTGGTAGCTAAACTCTTCTGATACTTGTACCAGTTCACTTAGAGGATTTTTCTGTCTTAAGAATATGGTCACGAATCTGTGTACAGAGGACACTTGGAAATCACCCACGATTTCTCAGGAATTTTTCATGAGAGATTTGTCACTAGTGTTTTATAATAAGCTGCCCTATCTGGCAGTAGGTTTTTCCCAACAAAAAGCCCTAGTAAAATCACTGATTTCAAGTGATGTGCAGCCTCTTAAGTGAATTTGATAGAACAGTGAGTAGGTATGCAGGCTAGATAGTCCCCAGAGTAACAAATACAGAAATGGAGCAAATTCTGCTGCTTTGTCTCTCGCTTGTATAAAGGCAGGTTGCAACTCGGTGTCTGTTGGTATGTCGGTAGCACAGCTGATATTCCATTTTGCTCCTGGGACAACATGGGATCAGAGCCGTTGCAGCATCTTATGAACCAGGAGAAACATTTTATTTTAACTGAGTTTAACAAAAAGCCTACTACAGAAGGGTGAAAACCAAGATTATTAGATTACTTGTTTACCACTTCTGGTGGTAGCATGGGCACAGTAATTCTGCATTAAGAGGTTAAAAAGCTAATTTCTATCCCTTTTGAGAAGTACCTAAGCTGTCCTGTGCATATCAAAGGTATGTGCCAAAGGAAAAAGGCTGAAATCTCAGATATACTTTTGGTCGATGTTAAATGCGGTCCCAAGGGACCCGGTTCTTATATGTAGATGGACTTCATCCTGGCTTTCCTTGTTATTGTGAAGAGACTTTAAACTTAGTGGATTTTTAAGAAAAGGTAATTAAAACATTCAGAGGAAGGGACTTGAGCACTGCTGTTAAAATAACCAGGCTTCACTGTTAATGAGAGCTCCTGCATTATTTTGTGAGTCATTCTGTTTGATTTCAAAGGGACAAAAGTCACCAGCCAAGGGTTATGAAGATCTAAACCTACTTGGTTGCGAGGTCTTCAGGCTCTTTGTCCTCAGTCAAATTTCTGTTTTGGTACAGAAAATATCACTGATGTATTTTGCACCAGTCTGAGATTCAGAGAAGGGTAACTCATACTGAAACTTCTGCAGAGCACTTCCGTGCTGAGGCGGTAAAGGAGAGTTCTTGTGCTGGGAAGTTTCCAGTTAAGCAGAAAAAGAGTTGGTTTGTTTTTTGAAATAACATTTGACATATAGACAGTAAAATATGAAAGCTATTAGGAGGAAGTTAATCACTTCAGTTGCCTGGTTTCAGGTTATATCAGGTAGACGGTGTTCATAACTTGTGCTGTGAAGTCTCTAGGCAGCTGCCATATGTTAAAGACGCTTATGAAAGGAGATAATTATGGAGGGACTGTGTCTTGATAATAAACCTGACTCCCTTGGTCCAATTCACCTTTCATCTCAGTGTTTGTTTACACAACAGCAAGTTAACTTGGGTACTTTAGATACTGGAGAAGGCATAACTGTATTGGATGCATGTTAAACAATGAAGTTTCAGCAGTATTATACTGTAACTTAGAGGTAAATATTTGAAATCATACCTTTCAATTAATGCTTTATTTAACTGTGAAATGATAAAACTCCATGTATTTGTTTGTTTATTAACGTCATCACTGGGGTAGTTTCCTGCCACAAGCCCCTCTTCATAAAGCTTAAGGAAAAGTAATACTTTACAACTCTGGATTACCTTGACTAGCCCGTTCCTGAAGTAGCTTTAGACAATTAACTTACCAGTGCTGGAGAACAAGGGTTTTTAGGCATTCTTGGTTTTGTCTGGTTTTACATATTAAATCTGGAGCTGGAAAGAAACATGTTTTTTGTTTGTTTCTCTGTTCCTCCCTCTCTCCCCACTCAGAAAGTCTTCTTTTTAATCACTAAGGTTTGAGGGGTTTCTGTCCTAGTTTAGCTCTAAGATAGAGAAAAGGTTTAGTACTTAAAGTAGATGCCAAATATTTTGTGGTTACATTGGAGTCATCTAGTTTCCACTGCTGAAAAGCAAAAAGCTTGCTTAGTCTCTTTTCAGTATATGTTATTCTTAAAAGGAGTTCTTATTTTAATAGATCAATAGAAGTATACAGAGTCAAACAGTAAATACATAGCTATAAGTGGTGAAAAATGCACCACACTCATAATTGTCATTACCCTCCTGTTGTCTTGTATGCCACCTGTTTAATAGTTCTATAGTTTCTGGAATGTGAGTGCTGCCATCACCCCCAAAGAAAGGAAAGCACTTTAAACACAGTCAGGGACTGTCATATAGAGAAGAAACGTATTGAGGACTTTTGAGTGGATGTGTAGTTTGAAGTGTGACTAATTTCAGCCTATGAATAAAAACTTTTAATTTTCACACAAGAGTAAGGTAAGTGAATAAGGATGTCAAGGTTGTTAATTTGTTATCAGGAGATAATAGCCTTGGAGGACTACATACCAGCTTACTAGGAAAAGGCAGCAGGAGAAGTAATTGGAAAACAGTCTTCTCAAGGCACTGAAGTGATAAAGAAGTCTGGTTTGGTAGTATCTGGAGTAGGCATCAGACAGCATAGTTCTTGGAACACCAGCAAAATCTTATTATTCGGTCTTTACTTTTTTGTGCACTCTTCTGTTGGATAATGGTCTCTCAGATTAGCTGTGCTAAATGGAGGAGCTGCTAATCAATAGCATGAAGGTGGGACTAAAATTAACAGTCATCCCACAAGCCTGCAGCTTAAACAAGGAGTAGGAATCAAGTGACTGCACGACAGTATAACAAACAGATCAAAGCAGCTATTTACCCAAAATTAAGCCAGTAGGAAAAACTACTGGCTTTGAATAGATACAGAGGTTATTTAAGGTAAAATGTGCTGCTATAGCAAATTCTGTCTGTTTCAAGAGATTTGGTCACTTTGTGAGCAAAGTGGTGTCACTCATTTTGTGAGCATTTTCATGTCGTCTTTGCCACTGAACCGTGGTTCAATGACTGTTTGAATTCCTGACCAAAGGCTTTCAGCATCTCTTTGGCAGCTAGTTTATGGAGGAGTAATACCTGCCCATATGTGGCTTCCAAAATATCAAAGGTAAATGGGTGGTATAGCAGGTAAAACACTCTAACTGCGTAGTTTTAAATACAGCAGGAGTAAAAGGAAAGACTTTAGACTTGGTAAGAAACTTGCCACCTTAATGTCGTCATCCTGAAACTGAACCTATCATTCCTAAATACTGAGAAGCATGTCAAAGGAAGGGAGTTTGCCTGTTTTCTCAGACAGCGAAAGCAAAACAGAAAAGAAAAAAGCCCCATGTATTTTTCTACTGCAGTCTCTGCATATCTCTGTTATGGACATTTTGAAATGATGTAAAAGAAGATAATGGCTAGTCATATCTTTTAAGTATAGTGTGGGAGTTTGAAAGCGAAACCACAAACTCTTTATCAATTCCAATGAGCTTGTGTTCAGTGTCTTGGAAGAAGAGCTTTATGCCCTGATTTTTTTTGTTGTCACTCCATAATGTTCTTGGCAAGCTTGTAGAAACCTTACTGTCTTCTTCAGCGCATCTGTGGTGATTTCAGATGTAATTTCCAGCTCGTGCACGTGAAGTAAAGTTACAGAGGTACGGCATATATATGGCACATATCCTCCTTTATGCTATATTCCTGGCAGGGCTCTAATGCTGGCAGTGATTTAAACCACTGAAGCAAGAACTGCTTGTGGACATCTGTAAGAGCTCTCTTCCTCCCTCTCTTTCCATTTGTATCTACAGATGTATTTTGGACTTTACACTAGATGCATGAACTCCTTTGATAAAAACATAGCATTAATTTTGTCTAGCAAGGGAGTAATCATTTTAAAGCAATTGTAAAAGGCTTTGGAGAGATGTGATAGATCACACAATGTGTGTGTTTTTCATGAGATCTGTGTTTCAGGAGAGTGAATTCAACCTCAGAACGCCCACCAGGATTTAGCCAAGACTCCATAATAGGTGATGCACTGAAAAAATGAATGAGGCTGCTTACATCTGAAATCTGATTAACTTGGTCCTCACTTGGTGAAAACATGTCAGTATCTAAAGCCCTGCTGCAGTAAAGCACTTTAGAAGTGGCTGGCACAAGTGTATGCTTGTGCCCTATTGGTGTGCACAGTGGGACAAGCAGATGATTACAGCTGATTGCCTGCCCAAGAATCCTGTAACAGGCTAAGTGTCCTCAACAAATGTTGACAAAGAGTATGCTTTTAATAATACTTCATAAAACCTATGTGATTTCTCAGGGGTTTTCCTCTAAATAGTGACTTTAAAAAGGGTGCTTGTTTTTATGGACCCAGTCTCCACTGCCCAAAGAAAATACAAAGGATTAACATCAAAATAAGTTTTGGATGTGTATGTGTGTGAATGCATGGCTTGAGGGGACAGGGTAAGGTATAGAGTTTCTGTTCATTTAGATACTTTGTTTTTCATCAAACAAGTCTTTTCAGTTAGCTTTACTTAGAGCGCAAATTTGCTTATTTCACAATTTAACAGTGTAACATTTTTCTCAGTGTTTGCTACTGCCCAAAGCTTGTAGCCCGGGTCCTTACTTGCTTCTATTCCCTCTGTACCACTCCAGCAATGCAAAGCAGCCTTTAAAAAGGGTTTTCAAAGTATAATGTAAGCAAAAGGTCTGGTTTGAATCAAAGACCTTAGCATCTGCCCAAGTCCAGTTGGTCTGCTCAGTTCCGAATACTCATATGGATTGGACCTATACTAAAAATAGGTGCAAAACCATAGAGAAATGCTAAAAACCCACAGTCATGGATCTGAATTTTGATCAGAGCTCCTCTTTTACGAAGGATCAAACCTCTGAGGTGGAGAACTTTAAGAAAATCAGGCTGCATTAATCACCTCGAGGAAAGAGTCTTAAATTGTTATTGGAGTCTTTGCCCGTTGTGCAAAAGAAACAGCCTCTGACTTTAGCAAGTGCCACGTGTGGTGGTGGGGACCATACCTAGGTAAGATGGCACTGTTACAGAGAGCAGGATAAAGGGCTTCATGCCTCTTCCAATGTTTCTTGACAGCTCTCTCCCTTCCATTTCCCTTCCAGGTGAACGCCCCTTCCACTGTAACCAATGTGGAGCTTCTTTTACCCAGAAGGGGAACCTGCTGAGGCACATCAAGTTGCACTCTGGGGAGAAACCATTCAAATGTCCCTTCTGCAGCTATGCCTGCCGACGGAGGGACGCCCTCACAGGACACCTTAGGACGCACTCTGGTGAGCCTGCCTTGTCTTCTCTTCGCTCTTGTTTTGCCCTTTGTCATTGACCTTCAAGTGAAGCAGGTTGTGAAAACAACTGTGGTCCTGGTGGCTCTGGGTCTGTACCATCCTCTTCAGATAGCACAGCTCTGAACTTTGGGAAAGCCTTGATGTAAATCACAAAAGTTGTGGTTAAGCCACACCTCTCCTTTTGTGTAACTGAGCTCCTCTGCTGATGCTATCGTTCTTCCCTTTGAATATCTTCTTGGGTGTATCCAGTCTTCCCTGGCAGATCGTTTTGACACTCTCAGCTCCAAAGTGGCTGTGAAATTCCAAAGACTGTAAAAAATAAGTGCTCTTGGTAGCCTGCTCTTCAGTTCATACCCATTTCTTCATCTAATAAATGCCATATGCTGGTGAGTTCTTACTTGCTTATCTTTCAGAAATCTCCTGATTGCATTTTTGATTGTTGCATCTTGCTGTAAAGTCCTACTTCATGGCAGCCATAGCACTCACCCCGAAGCAGAAGGTGGTGGAGGGAGATTAGGTTTGTCTTGCCTGGCTACTTGATATATATCAAGTCTACCTGGTAAGAGTTTCTTGATACGTTCTGAAAAAATATCTGTCCTATAACTGCATTTTTATAGTCATGCTGATAGCCCGGATCAAGATCAGATGTGTTTCTGGTCTTTGTATGCCTCACCAAACGGCCTCATTCTACCCACTTATTCAGTTGTGTAGGACTCTTGAGTAAGATCTTAATTTGCTGCATTTTTCATCTTCTAAGATGTTCAACTTCTGTGTCCAGGCCATTTATAGGAGTCTGTGTTTTTCATTGTTGAATGAGCAGAGATAATTGGACTGCTAATAAGTGATAGCATTACAGATTAACATTTTGGAGGTATTAGCAAACGTGTGACTACTAAAACACAGTGGTTGAAGTGCAGCCACAGACAAAAACTCTGCTGTGAAAATGCAATTATGGAACTTCCTGATTCTTTATATGTGTTTCTTTTGCAGGGTCAGCCTCACTTCAGTAGAGGTTTCTGGTTCATGAGCATTAGGTTTGTTTTAGGATACAGAGTTGCCTTGACATTTCCAGGAATCAGAAAGGTAGAAGCTAGTAAGCTTCTCCAGGTAGACTTTGGAGTACACAGAAGGCTGTATTGATGCAAACGCACTGCTGACAGAAAGCATGAGCTTCCAAGTGACTGCAAGTGTGGGACTAGGCTGAGAGAATGGTGTGAGAGTTGTCAGCTGAGAGGATTGCATCTGCAAGTCAGCAGGGACAATATTTGTGGAATTGTGAGATGAAATTCTCACATATCTGACCATAACCATAGTTTCATCTTGAAATGTAGTAAAAAAGAATACATGATCAAAATAGCCACACTTAAAATAACAAAAGGGGTTGTGACGTAAAATAGCCCACGTTACAAAACACATTGATTTTGAAGATTGTTTTCGTAATATGAATATAGATCTTGTTATCCAGATACAGCCATTGATAGAGATTGTTGGATTTTCCCGCTTGAAAAGTGCATATCTGATGTTTCTGCTTTTTGTATGAAGACGAAATGCAAAGGTGTGGGATTTTCAGCAGGCACCTAAGCTGCCTAGGCACATGAGTTCCTCTGGATCTCCTTCCCTAACTGACTTACTTGTGTTCAGCTGTGCTCAGTGGGTAATTCTATATTTTGTTTTCAGTGAAGAAAGTGTCACCCCTCTCAACAGTCAACTACACCAGTTTGAAGCAGAGGGCCAGCAGAAATAGGCAAGTGTTCCCACAATACTCAGACAGTTCTTCAGAGCAGCACTCACAGATGAAGAGTTAAAAACCTGGGATATTGCCCTAAAACCTGGCACCCACCTGTGAACATGAGCATGGGAGTTAGGGTGTCATTCTGCCTATGTCTTACAGGCCAGCTTTGTTGATCTGTGCAATGTGCGTGAGCATGGTTCATGGAGAAAATGGGAAGATGTTTCCTAGAGTTTTTAAATGGTTTCATATCTGTGTACTGTATAAGCATCTGCTGCTTTAATGAAGTACAACTCAAAAGTCCATGAAGATACATCAATTCTAGTAAACTTCATCGAAGGTCTTTTCCAACCTAAATGATTTTATGGTGCTGTGATTGTTTACATCTCTTATTTCTGACCAGAAAAGACAGTATCAGATAAAACATAGAAAGAAGGGATTGAAAACTATTTTGAAACGTGAGATTTCAGTCACATTTCAATCTAGTACACTTAATATCTAAATTGAGGTGAGTCTGTATATGTTTTTATGTTTACAAAAGGAAAGCTCTTTAGATCAGCTGATACAGATTGGAACCTTATCCTCTAAGCAAAGAAAGTACTGCTATTTTGCTCCAGCTGAGAATCTGGTAAGTGATTTCATAAATGCAAGACCAGTTTCCTTTTTCATGTTGCATGTCCTTTTCATTCTTAAATAAGAAAGTGCTATGAATTAAGAAAAACAAAAAAACACAAAACAACAATCTTTTTCCTTCCCAAGAGGGCTTTAAACTACTATTTTTTTGTGTTTGTTTTTTTTTTTTTTTTTTTATGGAAGGCAGAGTATGCAAGAAAGGAATTGAAGAATTTTTTCTATCTTTTTTTTTAACTCCCAGCTAGTTTGGTCTGTGAGTTGGAAAGCACTCTGTGTCGCCATTTAGTCAGTTACACGCTCTCACTATTGCCAGTTAGTCATTTTTTCCTGTGCTTAGTGCAGGGTTTTCATACAGTAAGACAAGAAAGGTAAAAAAATAAGGAAATGTAATTGCAAGCAGAAATCAGCAGAAGCATCTCAGAATTATCTGAAATAGCTGAAGCTACTATCAACATAAAAAAAAAAAACCACCAAAATTATTACAGTTGGGTTTGGGTTTTGTTTAGTTTTGTTTTTTCTTTTGCCTGGGGTGCATTTTCTTGTTCATGCTTTTTAATATTATTTCCTAATTATTTGAAAGTGTTTCTAAGCATCACAATCCACATTTTGCTTACCCTTCTTCTGCAGAATAATAGCTTACTATATAAGTGTTCCCAGGATGAGTGGTTAACAAAATATTCCTCTGCATCTGTAATGCTGCTGCTGTTTAACCCTAAATAATTAAGGTCTTATCTTGCAGTGATTTAATCCTGCAATTATTTATCATTTACTGACATATGGAGTTCTGATGAACTTTGTGTTTATATTTTCCTCCCACATGCAACTTTTTTGATTTCAGAAATATAATGATGCCTTCAGGACATTAGTAGAATAATGCCTGTGGAGAGAATGTACAGAATTACACTAAGAGTGGGCATGAGCATCAAGGTACTTACAGGACTTTCAGATGTTGTCTTCAGAATTAACTCCATAGTTCCATAGCACATGTGATACAGGAGAGGTGCTTGAGTGTGCTTCCAGGATGTGAGTTTTAAGGACAGGCTGTGGAGGGCTGGGGCAAATGTTCGTAGCCGCTGCTGCAGGATGTGCTTGACAAAGCAGCATGAATTGGCTTCACCTTGCCTACCTTTTGCTATTTTCAAGGAAGAAAACATCCAGGCAAAGCCAGTCTCCTGGCAGCAGTCACAGAGTACCTGTTATCTCACCCTGAGACATGCCCATCTTCTCCGTCATCTCTGTAATTGCACAGTGAAGCAAAAGTGGGTACAAAACCGATGAAACATTCTAATGTAGGCAGTTAATGAGCAAACCCCAGAAGTTTTAAGGAAGACAGTTAATCTGACAAATCTGATAGTTAAAGCACCTAGATGGTGACTTCTGTAGTTGGAAAGACATGCTATAAAGCCTAATGCTATTTTACCTTGAAAAGTTAGGCATCCTCAAACAGGCACATAAAATTAGCAGTTATGTTTTAGCATGGATTTCTCTTGTGTCTAAAATGGAGCCAGTTCAGCCCTCCCCCCGTAATGCTATTGTAAACACAAATGATTTGATAATTCTTAAAAAAGTCAAGGCTGTAATGATGAGCAATCTGGAAGAGCCCATAGAAAACATTAGAACATCAGTTTTCAGAGCAGGGCTTGGGCAGTAAGCCATAAATTAAGGGTGGAATCACTTGGTAAGGGGAAAACAACATACAGAATAGGTTTTGCACTATTTTGCACTAAGCAAGGTTGGTGCTGTGGGCAAATTATTTTGCAGGGGTTTGTTTTGTTTTGTTTTTGTTTTTTTTTAACAGACTGCCTCATTGCGCATACACACAAACTGGCCACATGAAGCCTTCTCAGGCAATCTTACTTCTGGAATTTCCTTATTTTTCCTTTATCTTGGCAACTTCAATCATGCTCCCTTACTCTGAGAGTATATAAGTGTGACTCATATATGAAAGCAGTTTTACTGTTTATTTCTTCCTAAAAAACAGGTAGTCAGATCATTGTTTTTTCCTGTCACAGAAGCTTTTCCTCACAATACCTTTTAAAAAAAATGTGCTTCCAAGCTATTTCTTTCCTGTTTAGGCAATGTTTTTTTCCCCTTTTCTACTTCCAACAAATATTTGCTTTTTCTTCCCCCTCTTCTTACTGCATTGCTGCTGCACATTGCTTGTTATTTACCCCCCAGCTCTTCAGTTGCACTGAAATAATGGTGTTGTTTTATTTGCAAAAGAAAAGCAGTGAAGCATTTGTTTTGAAAAGAGAGGCTTAGGCAAAAACTCCCGAAAGCACTATCTTAGCAAACTATGTACAGTGTGTGAGATAAAAGGCATATAATTTAAACGGTAAATGTAATTTTTCTGTTTCTTGGTTTGCAAGTCTATCTTTCTCATCTCTTTTTCTCCATGAGGACTTTTTGCTCAGCTCCTGCTGTTTGATCGTAAGCCATTGGAGATGTCCTACATGCCTGCAATTGCATGGCTGTTGTTGGCACAAGTGAGATCTGTGTGTGTGGCTGTGCTCAGAGGCAGAAGGAACCTGGTTCCTACTTCTGATGACATGCCTGACTCAGAACCTGTTTGGGAGAGTCATCCCACCTGTGAGTGTCTCAGTCCAGCTGAAAAATGGGATGAACA